TGCTTAATAAATGACAGTCACTGATGACAGATCTGTACATTCTTATGCATCTGTGCACCTATGTGAACACCATGGATGGTACAGAAATGCCTTTATGTAATTATTGATTTTAAAATAGGCTCTAAGGAAGATGCTCCACAAAATGCTCATAGCAGTATTATGTATTCTATAGAAAACCAACATATTCAATTAATAAATAATGGACAAACTGCATGAGTACAAAGTTTGGAAAACTATGCAAAATAGTATTGGCATAGAGCTTTCTGTGGGCTCTTAAAAATGAAATAAAGCTTTCATTACAATGTCTTTTATAAAGTCTTTGAGAACAGGTACTATTTTATACATCTTTGTTCCACTCTCAGTGTCTAGACCCTAGCTCTCAATAAACATTTGTTGATGTGACTATAAATTTTCATCTCAATAAGCTCATTGATTTCATGGCATCTGGTAAATAAGCCATATAACTTATTCTAGTAAATGCTATGAAAGTTTCAGCTAACAATAATCTAACTGAAAAACCAAACAGACCTGATCTATGCTAGAAAATTTTCAGACTATTCTTTTGTAGATCAGGCAGTGATTTAAAATAGGGAAAATTTAACATAGGGAAAAAATCATAAAATAAATATCTTAAATGGCTGATATATATTTATGAATGATATTATGAGCAGCCCTAATAACCATAACAAATGGAATCTTAGAATAAGCTGTCTTGGATAAATATCCTAAATATCTCTTTTTCAAACAGTTTTTAAAAATGATTGCTAATATCTATGGTTTTCAATAGATAGTCACTTACATAAATACAGAAGAAAGATCAAATTACATAGCTATGTTATCCAAATGCTGACAGACGGGTTCAGTGTTTTTGTTATAAACAGTGCAAAACTTCCAGAGTCACGTGAGGGACACTGGAGAATTTCTTATATGCCGTTAAGATCTTAAAGTGTAAACTTTGCAAATATGGTTTTATTTGAACCATGGGATTGCCTGAAAAGGTAGCACATTCAATTGTAGTGAACACCTGCTGAAGTATTCGATTTTTGCTCATATACAATTTTGGCATCTACCTCTGCCACAGGGTGAACATAATTTTTTTTAATTTAAAATACCAAAGAATTAAAAAAAGCATCTGGCAGTGGTATATTCTCAGTATTGTTTAGATAAAAACACAAAATTTAGAGGTAGTTGCAAATTTTTCATATTTTAATCAACTCAGATACTATAACGTGGCTATAGCTCTGCCAAGCCATTTATCAGAAAAACAGTTCTCTGAATCTAAATGTCACAGTGTTCCTATTTGGTTTGAGTTATCATAGTAAAACATAAATAAATAAAAAATAATTCACATTCTCAATTTAATTGTATTCTTCTAAATGAAAACCCAATATGCTAAAGCAAGAGAGATTTTCACTTCAGTACCTCAATAAACACAAATACGGATTCAAAATTTTCTAGTTCTTTCTCAGTGCATACTAACTGCCCTTCCTCCCTAAGACAAACTTACTCCACTGTCAAAAACATATCAAGAATTTAGAAACTATGTCAATTAAAAAATATAATGCACAATCACACTTTTAGTGTTTTACAGAGACCTTTTTTTAAAAAATAAAAAGGAATGCACAATAAATAACTTTATTTTTTAAAAAAAGTTCCCTTGAAGTAGGCTGGCTGGTGCACTTATGAACCAGCTATAGAATAAACAGAACAGGAAGGTTTTGGAAAGAGAACTGGGAGAAAGAAGCTTTGTGATTCAAAATGTCTGGGGGGAGGGAGAGGAACTAGAGGACACAGTGCCATCATGAAAGATCACCCAGCATTCCTTTTAATGAGACAGCCTTCAGAGATGGTAATATATTGTATCTCCATCTCTCTGGCTCAAACCACTGGAAAAAATTCTGGAGTGAGATGACAGATTGCCATTTCCTTAGCTATAATCTAACTGACCTATCTCGACCTCACCATAAGATGGAGATAACTCACCTTCTTTTCAAAGTTGCCGAAAGGATTAGCATAATGTATATAGAAATAAATATGTATGTACTGTAATGTGTCTGAAGAAGTATTTGCCAAAATGTTAACAGTAGTTATCTTTGGCTAACAGATTGATGAGTATATATTTTGTTTTCTTTATCCTTATCTGCGTTTTCTAAATTTTTTATAATTAGTAATTATTCCTTACATATGTGATACATGTAATTCATTTAGCACAGTGCTAGCACATGTACTGGCTCAAAAATGGCAGTTATCATCATTATTAATACAAGAAAATAAAGCAAGGCATCCTCTGATCTTTCTTCTTGTTTCTGCATATATAAATGAATGCTTCTCTATGAAGGAAAAGTTATGAAAATGAAGTTAATTCCACTACACAAGTCCATGGCAGACTTCCCACTCCTGAGCCAAATGAAAAGTCAGAGCTTAGAGGAATGGGTCTTCATATGCTTACGACTTAGTGCTGCAAAGAGCTGCCTAGCCATGGGCAAGCTCAGCTCAGTGACGATTTAACAAACCAATCAAAATGAAATTTATCCTGGTTATACAATAAATTAATACATAAAATACCACCTACCTTTCTAGCTAATGTGAATTATAAGGTTGCTTTGAAGGACAAATAGCTCCCAATAGAATGTCTATATCCAACAAACCAATAAAGGTTTGGAGTTTGTGTATGTTAATGATTATATAAAGTAGGAACCTCGCTCAGCTTTACTGTGGTTTTAATGTCTAAATTTATGTTATTTTTAAAGTATCTTAACTAATATTCACCACAGCCTTCAAGACTTGAAAACAAAGACCTTGGAAAAACCACCACAAATACTTAACCAAAATTATTATTATAATAATTGCAGGATATCACAGATAAATGCATTTATATTCAATGCAGAATAAACTTGCACATTTTCAAGAATGTTTAGAATTCAGCAAAATCTAGTAACAGAATATTGTTACCTAAAATGAGTGTCAATATTCCTTTGATCTCAACTAGAGTCAAGTAACCCCGTAGGGAAAAGGGACTGAAGTTTAATGTGTATAAATAAATAATTCAGGGATTTGAACTTTGAAGAGGATGAGTTTTTTTGTTATCTTGACTACTGCTTCTAGATTTTTAAAGACTTTTCCATTCTCTACCTTGTTTTTATGCTTGATATTCAATTTAATACTTGGGAACATTTTCAAAGCTTTGGTAGTTTTAAATATCTTGTAATCTGATAATCAAACTTCATTTACATTGATTTCTTAGGGACAAAAAAACATTCTATCCAGGCTCAAGTACAATAGTAAAAAATGAGCTATGTAACAGTCTTTTTGCCATGATATTAGACTTTGCATATTATTTTAAAATTATATGTCTTCCAAAAAGAATGGCACCTTTATTCCCTCCTTCTAACGCTCTTCTTCCAAAAAGAAAAGATGGTAGCTAAACATCTAGATTTTCACACACAAAAAATGAGGCACGGTAGCTAAAATTCTAATAAGTTAAAAAAAGAATATGTAAATAGATGATGTCAAGCTTATACAACACTTTCATACTCTGGATCTGGCTGAATACAGTTTTGTATAAACAGTAAAGTTAGTGTTGTCTCCTCTTGATTGATATAAAAATTTTAAAATTAAAAAAATAAAGCCATTTATTAAGGACACTAAAAAATGAGAGGTGGGGTGGGACAGAAAAGCAGGAGTTGAGGACACAAATGTCGAGGATGACTCTGTTTCCTCTTTGACAGTTTAGAAAAAAACAAAACGGAAGTCCTTCTCTACTTTGTGTTGCCTGAGAACCACTATGGTTTTGTAAAGTCTGTAACAGTAATTACATTTAATCACCCACAAGTACATTTGTCTTAAGCCTATAAATACTATGTTAGTCATACTAAATTATCTCCATTGGCTTATTTGTAAAAAGAAAAATATATATTTATATTTTCATAAAGTTAATTAACACTGAGGGGAGAGGAAAGGGAAGGAGAAGCAGTATGTAATCCATCACAGTTTCTCTGGATACAGTAACCAAATTGGGGTCTTGCTCAAGCCACCTGGTCAAGCAGTGTCTGAGGAAGAGTCATAGGAAGCGGAGACGATGAAATTGCCGCTGTTGGAGTGCCCAGCCACCGACTGGGCAGCCTGCTGACTCAGATTGTTACAGATAAGCACCAGCTGATTGCTTTGGGCCTCGGACAAGGTGCTGCAGCTCTGATACACACTGAAGTTGGTTTTCCTGCCCGGGATGTTGCCCTTCTCACACATGGTCTTCACCATCTTGGCCAGCTTGTTCTTGCCAAGGGCCTGGCAGTTGTACCAATGCAGAGCCGCCAAGTTCACGACTGGCTTGATGGACAAGTAGAAAGGGGCATCCTCGTAGCGCATGGCAGGAGGCCGCCGCTGAGCATACTCCTTATAGTCCTGTACTGGGCAGGTCTGTGGGGCATGCTGGGTGGCATACACACGGGAGTCTGTCCCCCCTCTCTTGGTTTTGGCATTCAGGTCCCCTGTGTCCTGACCCATCCACTCCAAGTACTCCAGCCCTGTTTCTGTTACCCGGAGCCGGATATCACCCCATTTCAAGGTAGATCCATGGAATCCTGTGCAGTGCCCAAAAGCTTTTGTGTTGTTGAGCCAGACTAGGTTGAGCAAACCCTCAGGATTATATCGGCTTAGCAGTCCCCTTTTCCGCAGGATGAGCTCATCAGCAAAGGTGAGCTTCATAGACTTGTGTGGCTTATTTCCTTTTCCTTTGCAACGGAGTTCAATTTGCTTCTGTTTCAGGGCCTCTTGGGAACGCTTAAATTCCTTATCCCTGGTGATGCTGTAGCCATACCTGTGTTCTTTTAGATACCGTTCAAGCCCACACTGGTAATTGGCCAAGCTGTTGGGTTCGTATTCAGACCCATCCTTCTGCCTGGCATCAACAAAGAAAGATGCAAGGTAGGCATCCAATTCCTTGCAGGGAATGACATAAATCTCTCTTGTTTCAGAAGGGTACTTGGAGATGAGGAACTCACGGAAATTGCGGAGCGCGGTCTGCGTGCTCCGGATGGTTTTCTCGTTCTGCTCCCTGCTGAGCTCAGCTGCTCTTTCATCCTGGTCTGCAACAAATTGGGGGGGGAGGGATAGAGAGGGTGTTGATGAGTTCAGACAATGTACTTGCTACTCTGAAATAAAGTTTCCTTTTATTATGACAAGGGAAAGACGGAATCAGTTTTACAGAGATTACTGATAAATGTTATTTACATACCTATCTAAGCCAATTTCAGTTTTACAAATGATGCACTAGACAAGCATATGGCCCATTACAAGCAAAATGAGCTTCTCACATCATTGAAACATAGTTTAGTGCATGAAGGTTTGTGGAAAGAGAGTAGAGACAGGTTTTGTTTTAGGAAAAACGTGGAACAGAAATGTGCTATTTATCCTACGGCAGTGTGCAAGGGCCCCATTAATGCTGACAAACTCATTCTGAGTAACTTCACTTGTGAAACCAGAGGTTGTACTGGTTCCATTTTGTTGAATTAAACTCAAACTATCTATATTTGTTATTTTAACACATAACTAAAAATCTATCTAATAATGACTAAACAAATCTTTTATGGCAATTAATTAGATACTTGTTCTTATAGAGCAATTCAGGTAAACACAGCTTGTGAATATTCTGTATTTAATTGCAGGGCAGTTTGCAATAACTGATAAAAGTATTTGGTATTTTGGAGGGTAAAACATCATGGCTATAAAGGCTAGACAATTAAATATGAATTAGTTTATTATAGTCAAGATGTAAGAAAGTGGCTATGTCTCCTGGATACATCATTTTATTTTATTAATTTACTATTTATATTCTGCCATCAAGGACTTGAGGTGCCTCTTTCTGGTATTAATCATCCATGATTAAGTAGCAGTCCTCACACTTTACTCTGCTTCAGATTTGCTTAAGATGCTCGAGCAAAATGCAGACTAGGAGGAGGCAGGTCTACAAATATCAATTTTAATCAGCACCTCTGTGCTCATGATGAAGTTTGAGAGAGCACATTTTGCCTGTATACTAGGCAAGAAATCCAACTCTATTTTGACCAATTTTTTTTATAATGGTTAAGTTCAATTATATCATATAAATGGCTCCATTTCAATAAAATGTAATTTAAATTTAGGATCTTAACATTAACAATAAAGACATCTTGTCAAAAACCACTACTATTATGTTAGACACGATCTGGGTGAAACTCAAAAGAGAAACCCTAAAGATGAAATCGCACAATAAAAACGTAGGCTACCCTATTGACTTCTGAGAGACAAACACAGGGATTAACACAAAAAATGTAATTTCTGATTTTAAAGTATAAGGTAAAAAGTATTTTGTTTATCCCAATTGTCTTATTTAGGAAAACTTTAACTTGTAAGGTTGCTCACATCCAGCAATTAAAATAAGATTTCTAATAAACTGAATTTTATTCAACAAGCACACCACTTTTTGGTTAGGCACGGTGGCTCAGGCTTCTAATCCTAGCACTCTGGGAGGCCGAGGCAGGAGGACTGCCTGAGCTCAGGAGTTTGAGACCAGCCTGAGCGACCCCCCATCTCTACTACAAATAGAAAAATTAGCTGGGGGTGGTGGCATGCAGTTATAGCCCCAGCTGGTGGGGAGGCTGAAGCAGGAGGATTGCTTGAGCCCAGAAGTTTGAGGTTGCAGTGAGCTATGATGACTCCTCTGCACTCCCTGGGTGACAGAGCAAGAGTCTGTCTCAAAACAAAACAAAAAACCATATACTACTTTTTGTATTATTATACATATTTATGAATAACCATGTTATTATAAAATGACAATTGTTATGATATAATTGCCAAGGCCGGGCATGGGTGGCTCACACCTGTAATCCTAGCACTCTGGGAGGCCAAGGTGGGCGGATTGCTCGAGGTCAGGAGTTTGAAACCAGCCTGAGCAAGAGACCCTGTCTCTACTATAAATAGAAAGAAATTAATTGGCCAACTAATATATATAGAAAAAAATAAGCCGGGCATGGTGGCGAATGCCTGCAGTCTCAGCTACTTGGGAGGCTGAGGCAGAAGGATTGCTTGAGCCCTTCAAGCTTGAGTCCTTCAAGGATTGCTGTGAGCTAGGCTGACGCTACAGCACTCACTCCAGCCTGCGCAAAAAAGCGAGATTCTGTCTCAAAAAAAAAAAAAAAAAAAAGATATAATTGCCAAAATCCACATAACTTTATAAATAAAATGAAATTCTCTAAATTAGTTAGATATTTTTATAGGCCCATTTTTGAGAGATCACATTTCCAAAAATCAAATATACAAAAGCATATTTTATGCTTCAATAGACTTAACTTTCAGTTATGCTATTTTCTTCCAGTAGAAATTACTTATATATCAACAATAAAAATGTGTATCTTTCCATCAAAAACACAGAAGCCACAGGTTGAATGTAACCTTTTACATTCAATTACATGTTGGCTTCCTTGACTGTTTACATGTAAAGCCAAAGGGGCCAGCACATGTTTATTTTGGCTACTTGTTCAAATATCTATCATAGCAGTCTTCAAACTTCAAACAAACTTTCTAAGAAATAAACATTCACAGACAACTTTAGGGGGAAATCTTCCCGCTCCTCAACTTTCACATGGAATCTTTCCTAATAGTACGTGTCTGAAATGAAGACTGACACACATACTGCAAAATCTACTATGGGACATGCTCTGGGGTGTAAAAGACTTCGAGGAGCCAAATAAAACGTATAAATCAGTGAACAACCCCACAGCATTTCCTGTTTTAGGAATATTAGGAATTCCTGTATTAAGAATTTCTCTGTTTTAGGCATATTCTGATAGAGGCGAAATCTGCCATCAGAAACAGGGATTTAGGCCTGAATTGGGGTGTCCTAAATTCAGGATGTATGAAGGGATTACAGGTTACTGAGGTTGATTCTTTTAACTAGAACTGGAATATTCTGCAGGACTATCAAGAACTTCATGATAAAGTAATAGCTTAAAATTGCATTCATTTCTTTCATATAATTGTGTTTTTTATTCACACGGTATTTAATAACTTATCAAATCATGTCATGAAATACTGATTCTAGTTACAGTCAAACCTCATCTTCATGTTATAAAATATTCACTACTTTCTACCTCCTTTTTGGAAAACTAAACTGATTGAAATTTATGTTGAAAACCTTTGGGTGCTAATTCAAAAGTGAATGATTGGTATAGAGGTTTTTCAAAGTTCTTTAAGGGACATGTGAACAAAAAAGTTTAGTCTGTTGGGCTTAATTCAGCAGCCTTGGTTAGTGTGCAGTAAGTAGAACTGGTGAAGATGACCATGGAAGGATCTGGAGTCCTGGCCTGGGTGTTATCACCTGCAACAGTTCCCTGGGTGAGATGGCCAGTTCTCCTACTTCTGGATCTCCTCCGCATTTTTAGCACCATGCTAACACATTCAAAATTAACTGACTAATTCACATCTTTTAAACTCATTCTCAGCCTAGCCTTGTTTTTAAGTCTTTCCCTCCTTTCCACTGGGCCTCAATCTTAGTTAAGAATCAGCCATTCCATCTGCAGGGAAATAAAACTAAATGGAAATGTCCCACTGTCATATCCTTTCCGAATAGCTTAGAATGTGCCACAAGAGGAGGTTGGAAGGGTAAAGACACCCTCATTTATTTTACATGAATAAGGGGACAGAAATATTTTAAAGTAATAACTTTTTCAGCTAATAACAAAATCAAATAAGACCAGAGAAGATTGACAATAAAATACAGAACTATTATAATTATCTTGCATTTATCTCTATTTTTAGAAAATTTTCTGATCCATTCCTTTTAAAAACTTTTTATTAGCTGTAACATACATACAATGAAATAGACTAGTCATTAAGAGCATGCGATTAGTTTTCATAAACTGAATACGCTTGTGTACCCGAGATCAGCAAAAAGACTATCACAAGCACCCCAGAAGCCTTCCTCATGTCTCTTCTTCCAGTCATTCCCTCTCACCAAGAAAAACCGCTACCCTGACTTGAAACATCATAGTTTTCTTTGGCCTATTATAGTAATACATATGAATGGACTCTTAGAAGGTAAACTCTTTTGTATCTGGCTTCTTTTGCTCAATACCATGTTTGTGAGTTTCATCCATATTGTTGTATATTTGTAGATAATTTATTCTCATTGCTCTGTAACATTCCATTGGGTGAATATATCATAATTTGTTTTTCCATTCTATTGGATACTGCATTCTATTAGTTTTCAGTTTTTGGCTATTTCCAATAAAACTACTATGAACATTCTGGTAGTTGTCTTTGGTGATCATGTGCATGCATTTCTGTTGGGTGTATATTTAGGAGTGGACTTGTCAGGTCATAGGAAATCATACGTTCAGCCTTAATACATACTGACAACAATTTTCCAAAGTGGTTGTATCAATTTAATTTTCCCACGATAGGAAAAGGTGCTCTGTATCTTCAGCAACACTAAATACTGTTAATCTTTCTTATTTTAGCCATCCTGTTGGGCATGTAGTAGTACTGTAGTGTGGTTTTCATTTTCATTTCCCTGATGACTAATGATGTTGAATACCTCTTCATGTTTATTGGCCATATGGATAACTTCTTTTGTGAAGTGTCTGTTCAATATTTTGCCCACTTTTCTATTGGACTATTTGTCTTTTCTTATTGTTTGTAGGAGGTTTTAACATATTCTGGATATAAGTCTTTGTCAGATAAATGTATTGCAAAAATCTTCTCCCAGCCTGTGGCTTGCCTTTTCACTTTCTTAATGGTGTCTTTTAATGAACAAGAGTTCCTAATCTTAATACAGTCCAATTTATCCAATTATTTTTTTCTTTTATGGTCCATGCTTTGTGTTCTGTTAAAAAAAAATCTTGCTTATTCCAAGGTCATGGAAAATCTTCCATTTCTTCCAAAAGCTTTACTGTTTTACTTTTCACATTTCAATCTACGATCCACCTAAAATTAATTTTCACATTTTGATCTGCAATCCACTAGAACATCTACCTATATGTTCTGAGATATAAATTAAGATTATTTTTTTTCAATTTGTATCATGACCCATTTGATTTTAATTAATAAA